CAGGATAGCCAAGTAGCAAATGTCACCTACGTGCAACAAATTATAGCCTGTCATGGTCGTGCTCCACGCAGACCCTGACAGCTCTTGAAAGCTGAAATCATGTACCCTCCCACTTGTACAAATTCGAGCAAATTGCTTCTGCTGTGCCACCGCCAGCCAAGTGCTCTCTCCAGAATTAGGCATTTTTATCATGAGAAGTTGGCCTGGTTTTGCTAGGATAGAGTTAATTTTCTTTTTAGTAATTAAAATAGCTGTATTTTAGTTTCAGTGTTTCAGTTCAGACTTATGATGAGAAGAACAATGATAACAGTACTGGTGTTATGAGTTGCTGCTGGAGCTCAAGGCCACTGTGTTGGGCTGCTTCACAGCTGCATTAGGACTGAGAGGGAGAAGCACAGTGAATAGCAAAACCCCAAACTGGCATCTGGATGTGCCAATGAAATATTCCAGATCACATCATGTCAGAAGTGAAAATGGTGAAAGTTCTCTCCTTTCTACCCTCCTTGTTCCTTATCTCTGAGAGAGGGCAAGAAGCACTTGAAGCAAGAAGCACCTTCTACCAAGGTAGACTAAATGATTTACAGGATGAATAACCACATAATGATGGTCATGAGACAAGTGCTAAATTTACTACAGCTCTGGACTGGTTGATCTTGCATAAAATGAAGCCATTTAGTAATAACTGTCACTTCATGCCGCACTTCTGGATCGCTGCAAAACGTCACTGTTGTTCCTTAGCTCTTACAAAATCAACCCTATAGCTTTGGCAATGGTACTCAGAAATGCTGCCATCTCCCAGAGTGCTGAAAATATCAGTTGTTTGCCAGAAACAACTCCCAGGGGGTCACAGAGTGTCTCTGCTGGAAGACGAGTATTCAAGGTACTTGGAAAACATTGGCTTTGAAAAGCCACAGTGATAATTGACCTGTACAGGAAGGTCTGTAACAAACTGCAGGAAAACTGTGATTCTAACAGCTCTGGGCTTCTCCATCAGCATGACTGCTGAGTGCTGCTGAACTTGGTGAAACAAGTTGTTGACATGTCCTGACATAATATGTATATTCTTGAAAATCTGATAGACAGTGGTATGGCATTATGCAGATTACAAGTGCTGGAAGGTTCTTGTTTTGGCCAGACAACTGCTCTAGTGGCTCTTTCAGTATGATGTTGTTTTTCAGTTCCATATCTCTTAATGAGTGGTTGGTAGAGAAAGTAAGTTTTTGCAGGCTTAATATTTGATCCAGTGTGTGGAGAGGAGAGCAGGACCCAGCATACCCAGTCCAACATTCAGTGGTGTGAGCCACCAAGCTCCTCTCTGTCTCAGTTTCTTGCTCTGCCAGATGGAAGTAGTTTTTTTCTTACCAGTCAGGGTCGCTGCAAGTTGCACTGTTCATTCGTATCAGTGTTTGGGATCAAAGGTGCTCAGCTATTTAAGAGCCTGGTTTGAGGTTCTCTGGAGTCAACAGAAGTTGAAGCAAGTCCTAGTTACTGAGTAATAGTGATGTATTTTAATCTGAGTGTTTCAGCTGCTAGGTAATGCTCAAGCCGAGACTTCTAAGTAGCACCCACTTACTGCTCAAGTCCAGCGTTCAAGGGACTTGAATAAATCACTCAAGGATATTCTAGTAAAATGAAGTAAAATGTCCTAAACCATCTGGTTTTCAGAAGCACTGAGCTGCAGATATAATGGGAGATGATATAAGCAACCTAAATCTGCAGAAGATCACGCTGCTGAAATCCCAGTTCCTGAAGACTTTTTTTTTCTTGAAAAGTCCTCCTGAGTTAGTAAATAATAATGGTCACATAGGTCCAGAAATAAAGACTAGGGTAGTCCTCATTCAGGTGGATGCATACATGGGTTTATGGACATGCAGAACTATTGATGCTGTCCTGGTTTCACTAGGATAAAGTTAATTTTTGGTTACCAACTGTCTGATCAATTCTGATATCAACATTCTTCTCATAACAAGTCCTACACTGAAACTACAACACAGCTATTCTAACTACTAAGAAGAAAATTAACTCTATCCTAGCGAAACCAGGACGTAATGATACACTATCTTTTTATCCAATTCTCCTCCTAGGATATTAGAATACTGCATGGAGTTAAACTTCTAGATGTTGCTGATCTCAGCTCAAAAAGCTAATTACATGGGGCTGTGTGATGATGTGACAGGCAACTGCTGAGATAATTTGAGTATGTTTCTCATGGTGTTTCTAAACATGCCACAGAAGTGTTAGTAAGCAGAGGACAATTGGAAAGATTGGGACAACAAGGTGTCTATCTTGTTGTTGCTTGACTAAGGACACATCAAACATTAGCTGGGTATCAGAAATGAGGAGAAAGATAACTGCTTTGAAACAGTTATAGATATTCTGCTTTCTAAAAGGCTGTTTGGAAAGTTTTTCTGAATTTCATAGAATCATAAAATCACAGACTGGTTTGGGTTGGAAGGGACCTTAAAGATCATCCAGTTCCAACCCCCCTGCCAGCAGCAGGGACACCTTCCACTAGACCAG